TTGACGTGTGGCGGTGTGTCTCTCAGAGGAGGTCTGAGTATATGGGTTTCCGCTGGTTCTTGAGGCGTAATACAGAGGAAATCTGCGAATATAAGAATGAACTGGAGTACTGGCTGCTGACGCAGCCAGTGCATATGCACTGCCAGTGCATATGCACTGGCAGTACGTACTGGTTCAGTACCCAACCCTACTATTCTGGCCTGTTTTGGGAATATTTTTGAGAAAGTATTTTGGGATTGTTTTTGAGAATTCTCGAAAAAAATCTCAAAACCATCTGATATTAGTACCCTACCGACCCACTACTCACTCTAGCGATGGAATCGCCCCCCAGCACACCACCTCGCAAAAGGGGCACCGAGTTATCGGTTGGTAGGCGCTATGCCATGGCGGTAGAAATTGCGATGGGCATTCAGCCGGGGTTGTTAACGATTCCCAAGGGCGTGCTTGACCCGATCTGCGAACGCTACGGTGTCGGAAAGAAGTACCCGTCCAAGTGTCTTGATTTTAGTGTGTGACCCCCAAGTGTCTTGGTTTTAGTGTGGCTCACTACTATACTGCATTTATTATAGGAGGCGCGACATGGATCGTTGAGTAGAGGGGGTTGGATGAGGGCCCTACTGTTGCTTGCTTTGCCCCGCAAGTGTCTTGGTTTTAGTGTGGTCCCCCCAAGTGTCTTGTTTTCAGTGTGGGGGCCACTATTATGCTGCTTTTAGTATGGGGGACGCGTCATGGATCGTTGAGTAGAGGGGAGGCTAGGTTTAGGGTCAGGGATAATTCTTGGTATTTTTGCCTTGTTTTTGTCATTGCCCCGCCCCCCCCGCCTGGTCGCCTGGTCGGAGGGGGCAGAATACATGCAAAATACGGCCTTTTTCAGGCCGACTGGTTTTTTCTCGGGCGCTCATGCACGCGGGGTGGCGCATGCATAAAAAAAAAAATAAATGTTTCTTGCTAAAAAAACTACGAAGATTTCAACAAAAAAATCGAAAAACAGATCGGACACGGTTAAGGGCCCGTACAAATTTAGGTACCCTAACATATGATACAGAGGAAGTACATCGATAGGACGTGGAAATTGGCGTGTAACTTCATTCGGAAAAATAAGTTGCATCATCCCCATACAGCACGTCCATACTTCGCCGTACCATGCCCATACTGTACATTCACCAGGCACCAAGATTACTGGCCGTCGACTTGGCCGCATGCTTGTACAACAGACTTAGACCGAATCACGGACCGCAGCAGCTATGCTCGCGGTTTGAGTACGAATATGAAAACAAACTCCGAAGGCTTCAACCTTCTTGGTCGACAAGGGTCACGTTGGGCCTGTGTTCCCTTCCCGCTCTACTAACGCCCAACGTGGCTGCAGCTCCGCCCCCATCCACCTGCTCGACCGTGCTCCTCTCAAGCAAGATCCACGAGCCCACCACCGCATCCGGATCTCCTCTGTACATTTCCAACGGCAGCTTCATGCTGCGCGTACTTTGGTCTAGGTCGAGATGCACACGGTAGTCGTAAAGGTGGCGAGTTCGCTCCTGAGACTGTCGAGTGATCACCCCCCCAAACCACCCCATGCCCAGCCTAACGAGTTCTCCACGCTGCAGTAACGAACTGTCAAGAGCTGCCGATGAAATGCTTGAATTCGCGAAACCCATCCGGAATCTCCATAGCGTGAATCTCGTCGTCCGATTCCATGCTGTCGTCGTCGTCCACAAGACTCAGCTCGGCCATCTGGCCACTGGCCGTCTCTGCAACGACGGGCACACACGACAATGTCGCAGAAACTAATATGTCATCTACGCAAACATATGTTCAACGGCAACGGCAAGGACAAAAGCAACTGCAACGGGAAACGTAACAACAACCAAGCAGGAGAGTGAAAAACCCTGGTGGGCATCCAACTTACCACGAGTGTCTTCGTCGCTAGAATCGCCGTCCTCCACTCTCTCGCCGCTGTGGTCCCCCTCGCCCTCAACCGTCTGGTCATCCCCACCCCCGCACCCATCGTTGCTAGTCTCGGAAGATCCCTCGTCGTCGCTAGAGTCACCATCGCCCGCGAAGGTGTACGGCTTGTCCAGACCCTCCAAGGTGATTCGGCCATCGCCTGAACCGTCGACAGTCATCGCAGAGTTTGCAGAGTTGCAGGGGCTCACCGGTTCCCCGCTGCCTAATGCGAACGAGTTGTAGATGTTCAGCGAGCCTTTGCTGGCGTCCTCTCGTTGTCTTTTTCCTCGATTCTGGGCCCCGCGCGCCGCCGGAGCTGCTACTGCTGCTGACCGCTTTCCGGATGCGGACGACGCGGCAGCGTGGTCTGAAGACAGTGTAGGGCGAGCGCTGTTGCTGATGCCCAAGATGTCTCCATCAATCTGCGTGGTCCACTCTTCTTCCGAGAACACGCCGCTACTCCCCAGGTCCCACGCCAAATCGAAGGCCTCCCAGTCTTCGCTCGAGAGGGAGTTGCCCTCCCTCACATGTTTCTTGATCACCTCGTACTGTCGTTCAAGGGTCACGCCCTTTGCTTTGAGTGCTGCGAGCTTCTGGAGCTCCCTCAACGTCGCCAAGGGCAGCGACATGATCGCCCTTCGTGCAGACAGAGGGCTTGTTGCGTGGCACGCACCCGAGGAAACCCGAGGGCGGCAGAAGCGAAGGGGGCACAGCGATATCCCACACACACACACTCCTGGTTCGCTAATTTTTCGGTATCCACCCCATGTTGTGGGAAAAAAAAACGGGAGGGGGGGNTTTATCTTGACCTCGAGTTTGGACACCTCGATACGGGTTCTTGTTCTTTGTCACGTCAGAACTGAGCACCTGTTCTTATGGCCGAGTTCTTAAGTTTTCGATTTTTTGGCCCCATGTTCTTAACAGGTGTGTTCTTAAGTGCGGGCGCCATCTGTGTCATCCACAGATACGTTGTAACCCAAGCAACTACGTACGTGAAACTCGCACCTGGAACTTGGGGTCCACCCTTTTATTCTGGACCTCGGTCCAGATGCACACATGTTTCGATACAATTCTGGACGCACCGCCCAGCCGGAGTCATTTTGGAGGGCGGGAAGACCACACAGGACTTGTGTTCTCCGTCTTCGTTCTGCGGTGCTTGCCTCGACTTCGATGCCTTTGTCACGAGATTGATTACAGCCATGCCTTTCCCTCGTCAACCGTGAGGTCGAAGTCTTGGAAGCAAGAAATTATCGCATGTGTGTATGCAAGTGTATGCTATGTAGATACATGTATGCAACGAATCGCTCGATCAACTCGCCGTGGCCCACTCGACCCCGGTCCTTCCTCAGCCCTTGTGCCCAATATGGTCCTCGCTGGACTCTACATCGGATCGTCCTTTTGACTCACCGCAGCAGCCGCACTATATTGTCGCCGCTGCTTGCTATGCCCACGTCACCCCTCCTGCTTGTCCTTTTCCCGTTTGAAACTTCCATCCAACTTCCTTTCTGCAACGCGCTGCGGCACGATTTAATCCCGCCCCACCATTCCCACATTTTCCTTCGGTCTATCTTACAACCACACGAGGACAGATCATGAGCTAGCTCACCTTTGTCTTTCAGACCACCATGGAGCAAACATACTCTGATCACCTACTACGTGCGCACGTTGTTTTCTTGTTGTTTATCACATTAGCTCCATAGTCCACAAAAAATGGGGAGCCCGTGGTCTCAAAACCCGGCACATGCGACGCCGCGGGGAAACAAAACAAGTATAGGGCACAAACCACTTGGGAGAAAGAAAACAAAATGGTGGAAATAAACGAACAGATACCGCACCGGCCGTGCGAGAAAAGAGCCCTCGGAAACCGATCAAAAAACAAAATACAAAAGGAGGACGCTTCCCACACCTGCCTAAATGAAAAAATCAAAGGGTAACGTACCAGCACCAGGCACTACGCACCAGGGCATGGGAGTAACGGAGCAAACAGGACAAAGAGGCGGCAGATGGGCAGACAGCCAGATGTTCAAAAATAAAAGCAACAGCAAAAGCGAGATTAAGGTACTCAACACAGCAGAGTAGGCAGGGAGGACATGAAAAAAGAAACACAGCACAGACGGAGAAGGCAATACACAGGACGTACATATAGGAGTATAACATACAGCAGGGAGGGAAACAGGGCGCAACAACATCAACCGGGTACATGGCCGGTCGCCCCGGTGGTCAGTGGGTAACCTCGCAGCCTGCTAAGGGCCAGGTCGTGGGTTCGAGTCCTTACAGAGTGAGTTTTTCCTAACTAATTAAATCCTGGTCTCCGTTGGAAGCGATGCGCTGCAATGCGCGTTGTTGGTACACTTGATCGACTTCATAGGTCGCGAGGGAAGGGATTGCTGTACTCTTCTCGCGATAAAAATATTTCAGGCAAGAACCGCAGGAGGGGGTCCAACCCCCCCTCATGTGTGGCCCCGGTTGGGTCATCTAGCTCGTAGGAGTGGAGGATAGGGGCCAAAGGGGCAGACGACAGAATCCAATGATGGGAGAACAAAAAAAAAAGTTCGCCACAAGTGCTGCCTGGGCCACCCTACTCGCTTCTACAGCAGTGCCCGGTCGCCGATTTCTTCCCCCCCATCGCCGCCTCCCCGACTCTTTTTCTTTTCGGTACTGAGATGGCCGTACTCTCTGCTTCTGCTTCCCTCGCGCGCTGGCGCTTCGCGGACGCTTCCGCCTCCCGTCTATGCCATTTCCTCATGAGCCATGCCGCCCCGTCCTCGACCTTGTTGTACCACACCTCCGGGTCCTTGGCGCTCTCTTTCCATTTACCCCCTTCCTTTTCGTCTCCCGTGTTGAGGCCACGAGGTCCTCTCCCAGACGAGACACCCAGTCGCTCTCCTGCCCGCCCCGGTATCC